GTGCAGAAGAGGTCTTTAGCAACTATGTTCCTTATGTAGGATGACAATAAACAACTGTGTAGGCAAAGTTTCCAGTTAGAAATTAAAGCTAACTCCATAATAAAATAAATTTTAAAATCTTCAAAGGAAAACAAAGAAAACATTTATATTACTTAAAGAAAAAAAGTCAGGCATTTTATATATAACTTCAGGTTATCCATTTGGTGTTTGGTTCAAGTCCATGATGTTTTGGTTTTTCAACACTGGGAAAGCTAATGTCTGGTATTTTTCACAGACATACATGCTTACCATTAACAAATAGCTTTCCTGCCTAATTTTTTTAAATTCATTCTGTTTAACCTAATTCTCAGCATTGTACTTATTAATAATCAATAATCAAATTATTATGTGCTAATAGATGTCTCTAATGTTTAAATAATTCTCTCAAAAGATTTAGAAGTCACTATGGAGCCAGTTAATATTAGTTATCAATGATTGACTAATGGAGAATTTGCATCCAATTTTCTTACCAATACAAATATTAACAGGGTATGCTACCTGTTATAACAAATACATAATCCCCAAATCTTAGCAATTTAAGGCAATAAAATAACATTCTTTGCTTACATTTTTGCACAGTTAGGATTGGAAGAAAGACTTTGCTCCACAGTCATTCAGTTACACTCCCCTGTGTTCTTGTGGCCCTAGGAATTTGTTCCATCCAGCTCATAGATGGACAAAGAAAAGATGGTGGGTGTATAAAATTTGATTTGATTTGTTTTGTTTTGTTTTTTGATTAGCCAAGTCTGCATGTCACTTCTACCACACTACATCGGTTGGAACTCAGTAGCAGGACCACACCTAATTACAAGGGACACTAGGAAATGTAACATAGCAATGTTTAGTGAATTTATGTAGTATAACTGTGTTCAGTGGATTTAGTGAGACCTAGCCGCAAAATTCAATTGAGTCTTTGTTACAAATGCCAAAAAAAGGATTGCTAGCCTAGAAAAAAAGTAAAGTTAATCTGGTTAACATTTAAAAAAATTAATGGTGACATAATTTAAAGTATGGCCTTTCATTTATATAACACTGGCAAATATTAGTGAGGGTAACAAGTATTCTAATTTGAGTTTTTACATGTTATCTACAAACAGTTGTCTAAAGTCAAGTATTTTTATTGTAATAAAATCTGTATAACATAAAATATACCATTTTTAAGTGCCCAGTCCTGTGGCATTACTACATTATCATTGTTAGACAACTATCATCCCTGCTTATCAATACAACTTTCTTCTCATCCCAAACTAAAACTCTGTACCCATTAAATAACTCCTCATTTTGCCTTCCCTTTTCCTTATCCCCTGGCAGCCACTAGGAGATATGACTATCTCTCTATGACTTCGACAATTCCAGGTACCTCATGTAAATAAAATAACACAGTATTTATGAACCTGGTTTATTTCACTTACCATAATGTCTTCAAGGTTCATCCATTTTTTGGAAAAACAACATTTAATATTACACTGTATGTATATACCACATTTTGTTTATCTGTTCATTTGTCAATGGACATTTGGATTGTTTCCACATCTTGACAACTGTGAATAATGGTGTATGAACATGGGTGTGCAGATATCTGTTTGAGACCTTGCCTTCAATTCTTGAATATATACCAAAATGAGGAATTGTGAGATCACATGGTAATTCTATGTTTAATTTTTTGAGGCCCATTTTTCACTCAAGTATAAATTCAAAATATTTTTAAAGACAAACTTGTAATCAGTCTCTAAGAAAGGTTGTAATAACTTATAAATCAAGACACAATCCCCCCCCAAAAAGTTTCATGGAATTGGGAGATTATATGTTTTCAAAATAGCTCTTTAAAAACCACAATAGTTTTACTTTCATTTTCCTTTGCTTCACTATTCTTATCTTTTGCGGTGCTGGAGATCCAACCTAGGAAGACCTCGTACATGCTAGCTTTGCGTCATTATTAAGCGAAGAAATAAAATAGATGGAAGAGTAAGTTGTTTCTCTGGGTGGGGAGCTATAAAGAATAAGAATTTGATAGGAAAAAAGTGATGTCCTGAAAGTTTTGTTCTACCTTTTATAACATTGGTTCTAATAGATTTGCTAGAAATGATAGGAATGGCTTATCACACCATGACCAAAATTTAAACTAAGAACATCTGTGCACTATTGTAAATGTTAACTTATAATTAATAATTAAAACTTGGCAGTAATATCATTCAAAGAATTGACATCACTGTTTCTGGGTATTTTTCCTGCTGCTTTTCTCATAGTTATCTAGATTGCTTTACATTTTGTTGTCTTTAGATTGTTTCTGTAGACTATTTTGTGTAAATATTTAAAACAACTAGCTAGAGTGATGAAAACCTGGGTGCTTTCTAGAAGTTTAACTCCAACAGCAAGGGGCTTTAAATGTTTGGTTTTGATTTCATCCTCTCTGGCAATTTAGTATTTCTGAGTACAGGTGCTGTCGAAATTCAAAGAGATGATGAGAATGAAAGGCAAGGCCTGTGGAAATGAGTGCATTTGAACTAAACCCTTAACTGAGAGACTGATTTGGAATGCTTTGGTTCCTTAATAATGAGATTTTCGAATTTGGTGTTTCATCACAGACATATGATAGAGCATTGATATTCTAGGTCTCAAAAAATATTTCCACACTAAGTTTCTCCAGGAAGAAAGACTAAAAGATGAAATGGGGCACAAGTTTGATACCAGGTTATCATTTTTTGACAGCAGAACATCAGAAAAGGCCCTTTTCACCCATTCTTGTTTGCCTGTCTCAAAGGCTAATAGATTTTGAGTCTGGTACTGAGGAATGTTTATTTTACTTATTTTTAAAATATAATACCATTTGATGCTTAACTAATAATAGTGCTTAAATCACTTATGATATGCAATGAGATAACCATATATAGCCAGCTGCTACATTTTTCACTGCTTTACATTGGATTTTTATGATCTTCTCATTCTTTGTTGCTTAGACATATTTACATGTTTGATACATTTGCTGATATGAATAGTTTGCATATTAATTTGAGGTTTTTTTGTAGCTACCTCCTTCAAAGAGAAATAAAATCTAGAGTAGTTTTCTCTTTAACACTGTCTTTTTGTTTTATTTTATTTTTATTGTTGTGCTGGGTAGGGATACATGGTGGCATTTACAAAGGTTCTTATAATATATCAAATATATCATACTTGAATTCACCCCTTCACCATTGCTGTAGAACTAAGAGCCTGCAAGTGAAATCCATCACGAATCTTGCTTGATGGGTTTAATGTGGGCAGCAGAGAATTTAGTAACTTCCATAAAGAAAAACTGAAGTCACTTTTTAACATGAACCTTGTGTATAATTTCGCATCTGGCGGCATGAACTGCTAAAATACATAACATTATAAATAATGGACTTTTAGGCCTCTCCTTAACAACCATTGTCAGGCACACATTTTTACAGCCTCATGGTTGCTGTGCACGCAATCAGAACGGTAGCCAGCGCTGAAGTCATTCTCGCTGCCTCCTCACTCTGTCTCTTCATTATACATTCTCGGCATGAGTCCCACTCATTCTAGTAATATTCAACTTTCCCAGTGCTCATACCTCTGTAGTTCTTAACCTCCACATTTATTCTTGTCGCTCCTATTCTTGGGCCCTATTCCCATCCCTATTTCTAGGATTTACTCATCTGCACTCCTAAAGAACCATTGTTCTTTTCAATATCTTCTCCCTGTCTACTACCTGTCTACTGAGTAAAGGGTTTGTGGACCAAATCCTTTACTCAGTAATTTGTCATTCTTTTACACTCCTTTAAAAAAATTAAATTTAAAAAAAAGACCTGGATATCCTTTTCTCCTCTCTTTTCCTCTGATTTAAATGGGTTTATTTCTTGCCTTCCTATCAAAGACCCTCATTCTCTCCTATGAAGCACAATATAGTGATTGATATCAACCAACTGGATTTTAGCCCTGGTCTTGAACAGGTGCTTCTGTCTGTTTTCTTGTCTGTAATTGGAGGGAAATACCACATGTAGGTTGTTCTAAAAATTAAACAAAATAATATAGTTACAAAGCATGACACAGTTGGCCTTGGTAAACATCAGTTATTATTCTCTACCTTCCTTGGAAATGACTCTTGTAAGTACTTCCCACCTGCACGTCTGCATGCCCATCCTCTTTGTCCCAGAATTCAGGATGAAATTAATCTATGGCAGCAGAATACTTAAAGATACTACTCTTTATTATGACAACAGCTCCTAGGATGAGGTTTTGCACAGACTTACACATAATCATTAAGCTTATTTCAGTTACATAAAGTACCAGGGTCAGTTCAAGTGCTCTAACGGCCTCTAATTTAAATACCAAGGAACTCAGGTCCAGGCATGACACAAAAAAGAATGGACATACAAATCCAAAGTCTTATGTATTCAGGATAGGGATCCAGAACCTATTGTGTGACACCAGATTGCCGGGCACCACATTTGATTCGTTATCCTGGAGTTTCAAGTACCTGTTACACTAGGAGAAAACTAAAAGAGCTTCTGAAGGCAACATAGTTCCAGGCTAGTCTAAGGAGACCAGGGTAAAAGGCTGCAGCTTCCTTTCCTCTTGGGGACCTAGCCCCTAATTCTTTCAAACCAGTCAAAACAGAGATATGAGAAAACTCTTCTTCCAGGATATTTGGGGGTATCTACAGTAGAGTAGAGTGGGCTTCCAGCCCAGCCTCTGAGCAGTTCTTGCAGCCTTAACGCTTGAGGCTTGCACCTGAGTAAGCCCGCCAGCCTGCTGGAGCCCAGACTTGGCCGGGAAGCAGGCCTGACTAGGGCAGGGGCGGGGCTTGAAGGGGCTCGCTGGGCGTGGCTTTGGCCCTGAGTGGGGCGTGGCCTAGGACCAGGGTCGCCGGGGAAGGCGGAGGGCGGTGTGGGGGGCGGGAAGCGGGGAGACGGAAAAGGCGGGGAAGTTGGCCTGGTGGGGTGGAGAAGGCAGTGCACCGAGAGCGGAGGGAAGGCGCCCCGGAATCCGAGCGGGCACAGGAGCTGTGGGCCCGGTAGGAAGTGGGGTTCTCCGCAGGGCCTCGGCCGGGTCTGGGAGAGTCCGCCCTGGGAAGGTTTTAAAGCAGCCTGCGCTGTGGCCCTGCTGCTTTACCCCAATGTCTCGGGAAGGCTGCAGGAGCTTGGGCCCAGGAGGCCGGCTGGGCCCTGAAGTGGCTGTTCGCCCCAGATCTGAAGTCCCCCCAATTCTAACTTGAAATCCTGAGGTCGGCCCAGCGCAGCACCAGCTCAGTGCGCCTAAGCCGCGCTCCAAGGGCGTCTTTGAGCAGCTGTGCCGGGGTGGGGCGTCCATTCCTTGCTTCTGCTTCTTTAATGGGCTTTTGACATCATACCCCTCAGCCTTGCCATTTGTTTTATCGGCTCCTGTTTCTTCCATTATAATGATATTCCAAACACTTAGGTGCGCCTCCTTAGGGATAAGAGCAAAGTTTATACTAGGTGATATTCGTCCTTACATCGCCTCTTATCTGGAGGAAACAGACAAGCATTTATTCCTGTCCTAAAGGATCCTCTTTGTCATAGAGATTCTTTGTCATAGAGAATGAACGTCTGTGAGAAAAAATTCCTAGGACTTACGGCACCCACTTGTCCTGTTACATTTTATTTTACATAGACGGAAGGGATGTATGGCAGTTATCCTCAAGGCCTGATGTAATTCCAGAAATAACCGACCACCTTCAAAAAAAAGAAATCTCGGTGCAAAGAAACAGATCGAACAACTTTCTGACTGTCCACAGGTCAAATAGCAACTTCAGTTTTGAAAGGATATTTCATACACCATATTCACAAAGTGTGACCTTATGAAATTATGTTTTCATTTATGGAGGTTAGATGTTGCTTCAGTGTTATCAAAGTTACTATATGTATTATATAAATTTTTGGAGTAAAATACCAAAATATATTTTATTTTCATTCCTTGGTTTTAGAATGGTAATAATGGATGCCCAAGCCTACATTTTTTTGACAGTTACTAACAGCTAATTGTCAGGGTTGGTATCCAAGCCCTATGCACTCTAATTTAATCTACTCCACAGCCCTTTGAGATATTAACTGTGGTGCAGATGAGAAAGTTAAGGCACAGAAGGATTAAGACACGCTGCTGGAAAGTTTGTGAGTGGGGGGGAAACAAAACTTTTTTTGACTCCAAAGTTTGTGTTCTTATCCCTTCAACTTTTTACATCTCAAGTCTGTACCACATCAACAGGGACTAAAGGTACCCTTCATTAAGAAAGTAAGAGCAATTGCTGGTTACAGAACTTTGGACCTATAATAACTACAGCCTAATACCAGTCATAACTCTGGGAGTTCCAACTCTGACTTTGTAAAAGTTGCTTATTCATCCTAGACACATAAAAGTAATTGATTTCCAGGTCTGTATTCAATTTGATAATCTATGGATTTATGACAATAGAATTCTGATTTTTACCTTTTAATGATATTTTTGGTCACATTTGGTATTGAGATAACAAGGTGGCCAGGAAGGGTTGGCTTATCCAATCAACAAATATGTATTTTATACCTGTGATAGAGAACAAGACAAATAAGGTCACCAGCTTCTTGGAGTTTATGTTCTGGTTGAAGGTGAAGGAGCCAATAAACAAATTAACAAGTAGCTGTTTACAACAGTAAACAGGGGGCTGGGATTAAGAAAAATGAAGAGGCACACCTTGGATATGGTGATGAAGAGGGGACTCACCAATTTAGATTCTGATTTGGGAGGATGAGAAGGACTGACTGAATGATGTTAACTCCCTTCACTGGGACTGAAAAGGGCAGAGAAGGCATAAAGGAATTTGGTATATTATAGAAACTGCCAGAAGGCAGGAATGGCTGGAGCTTGGGTGATTGGTTGGAAATGAAGTTGGAGAGCCAGTTATTCAGGACTTTCTGCACTCTGGTAAGGTCTCTAAATTTTAGTGTAACAGCTAAGGAGAACCTCTAAAGGGCTTAGGCATGAAGGTGGCTATGATGAAGCCAAAATAAATCTAAGGGTAGCTCTGGTGAGGGTAGTTGCAGCAGTGACAAAGTGGAATTTCCAAATGTCACTTCCTGACTACCTTGTGTTAGACTGAAAGAGACACAGAATAAATACATAGGAAGACAGCTCAAATCCCAGCACAGGGTTTATTATTCAGGAAAAAGCCCTGTGGAGGTGGGTATCCAGCCAAAACCAGAATCTTACTGCCACTTATAGACTTGGAGTAGATATTGGGGAAGGGTCTGGAGGGGAAATTTTGCTGGGTTCCAAAATTTTTCAGGAGTGGAGTTAAGATTGCTTCAGGGAAGCTAGAGGAGATAAGTAGTAATTAGGTAGATAAATTTCTCGCTCCCGACACCCTGGTAAGGTGACAGCTCCAAAGTGAGAGTTTGTCAACTCCTTGAGGTTGGGTATGGTCCTTCGAATAGGTGGTGGGGTGTTTCCAGTAAGCTGCCTGTAAGGGTAGGGTGTCCAATCCTAATGTGGCTTCCTTTTTGTTCACCCTAACACCTTATTTAAAATAACACTCCAACACCCCTCACACACTCAGAGGGTTCCCCTACGCACTTTATTTTCCCTCCATATTGTTTATTTCCATGTGGCATACATTATGTTTTATTTGCAAATCATTATGTACTTCCTCCCATAAACAATGTCTACTATGTGAACCCTGGGTTTTTGCCATTTCATTTACTGTCATTTCTACAGCCACTGATGCTGCACCTTATGCAAAATAGGTTCTTAATAAATAAATTATCGCATGAATGGATTTGTTGAATGTGTTGGATTTTGATTCCATAGAACTTGCTGATGAATTGAATGTGGTAATGAAAGAAAAGGGGGGAGAAAAGGAAAGATAATTCTCATTTTGCCAGCTTGAGAACTGTGTAGGTGTCAATGTGAGTTAGTAAGAGGTAGGGTAGGAAAAGAGCAAATGTGAGAGCAAATAGAAGAGACAGGAAGTTCTGTTTGGGTCATATTAAGTCTGTGATATGTAATGGATTAGTTATTTAGTGATTATCTTGCAGCTTCTGCATGCCTGGACTTTGGATATGGTTTGGTTGGGTGGTTCTCCCTTAGGGTCTCTCTGAGGTTGCAATCTAGCTAAAAGCCAGTGTTGCAGTCATTACAAAGCTTGACAGGGCCTGAAAAATCTGCTTCTTAGTTCTTTCATATGACTGTCGACAGACTCCAGCTGGTTGTTGGCTACCTTGGTTCCTTACCTCCGTGTGGGACTGCTTGTGTTGTAGCTTCATCCCGAGCAATTGACCCAAGAGAGAAAGTGAACCCTAAATAGAAGCCACTGTCTTTTTACAACTGAATCTAAGAGGTAAAATACCATCACTTTTGCCATATGGTACTGATCACACAGACCAGTGTGAGAGGGAAGTACACACAGGTGTGAGTGCAAGGAGGAGCAAGGTTATTGGGATGCATTACAGAATCTGCCTGCTGCAAAGGTCTGGTTGCTATGGTTTGAATATGGTTTCTCTTCCAGTGGTTTATGTACTGGAGGCTTAGTCCCCAATCTAAAGGTACTGAGAAGTGGTGGAACCTTTAAATAGTGGGGCCTACTGGGAGATAATTAGATAATGGAGATGCCACATCAGAAGGGATTAATATCTGTCTCTTGGGACTGGACTCTTTACAAGAAAACAGGTTACTATAAAGCAAGGTCACTCTTTTCTGTACATGCTACTTACCTCTCTCACACACTCCCACTATGTGACACCATCCACCATGCAGCCAGAGGCCCTCGGCAAAGACTGAACAGATGGGGCTGCCTGATCTTGGACTTTCAGCCTCCATGACTAACTAAATCTCTTTTCTTTATGAAAAGTACCCAGCATTAGGTATTTTGTTATAGCCATACAAAATAGACTGTTAAATGTCAAAATAGAAATGCCATTTGGTCACGTATAATTGACTGTAGCTTATGGAGGAATCTAAGCTACAGATAATTATTTGCAAGTCATTAGTTTTGATATATGAAACTGTTGGAAAATGTTGGGAGAGAATAAAGATAGAGAAGGGAAGAGGACTTTGGATGAGTCCCAAAGAGTCTGAAATTTAGAGTGTAGTGGGGAGTAAAAGACAGTAACTGGTAAAGAAGGAGGAAAATCAAGACAGTGTATATTCCAGGGATAACTTAACTAAAATATTAGTCTCTCTGGACAAGTTTCCCCTTCCCAATAACGGTCAGAAAAGACTTTGAATATGGCTGAAATGAAAAGTATTTCTGAAAAAAAAAAACAATATAATTCATTTTGAAGTGTGAGTCATTAAATTTTGGGCCAGACAGAGCAGAAGACAGAGGGACACTTGTATAGATTGAATAGTTAGTCTCAAGAGTACATGCCTGTAAACTTAATGCCTTCCTTGTCTGGGGTTTGACCACCAGTCCCTGTGATTATAGTAACTCAAGGATATTACAGATTGCTCTTTTAATTACACTTGAGGACAGGATGTTGAATTATACAGCATGAAATGAACTGGAATGATGTCCATCCCTGATTCCATATATTTCATTGTGTTAGTCAGATTTTCCCCACTGTGTCCAAACACTTGAACTAACAACTTCAGGGTAGGGTTGTTTTGCTCTAGGCTCAGAGATTTCAGTCTAAGGTCAGCTGGATCCATTGTTTTGGGCCTGGGGCTAGGCAAAATATTTGACCATCAGTGCTTCTGGCAGAGGCAGCTCACATTGTGGTAATCAGGAAGCAGAGAGAAAGAGAGACAGAAAAGAACTAGGGACAAGATTTATCTTTCCAGGAGGCACACCCCAGTGACCCACTTCCCCTAACTAGGACCCACCTCCCAATAATGCCATCATATTATAAACCCATTAAGGGATTTATGAATCGATTAGGTCAGAGCCCTTGAGATCCGATCCCCAAAAGTTCACCAGCTGCCTGAGCCCGTGGGGTGGGGGACATTTCATGTTTAATCCATAACAAGCATTAATACATGAGTCCACTTTCTCCATAAATGTCTTAAATATCCCAGTATTCCATACAG